TGTCAGGAATCCTCTCTGTTTCAGCAAGCAGAGTAAACAGATCAGCTGATTAAGACTCATTAAGAGTCGTGGACTAAATTAAAGCCACGTCACTGTGATCCGTGTTTCACACCACAAACATGCAGCTTCTCCACCTACCGACCAGCCGACCGCGCATCTCCTCACTTCCTGGGAAACAGTTTTTAAAAATTAAAATCCTCCTAATATCAGATAAAGAAGGGACTCTTCGCATCATCATCAATCATCATCATCTTCATCAGGTCATGACTCTGTCCCGGTCTCTGGTCGGACCTCGCGGCTTTATACTGCGGCCGGACAGAATGTCAGAACAGAATAAATAAATGTGTGTGTGTCACTCATCTGAAGAGTCCATCACTCGTTCATGAGGACTTCAGGATGAATGAGAGAAGAGAGAGAGAGAGAGAGAGAGAGAGAGAGAGAGAGAGAACTAATTCATTAGTTTCATTCAGGTTTTTATTTTTTTATTCACAACTTTATTTAACTATCTCAAGTTTGAAGGTGAGGGAGAGGGGGAGAAAAAAAAAAGTAAAATTAGGAGGAGAGAAAAAGGAAAAGAGTGAGGAAGAAGAGGGGGCAAGGAAGGATGGAAAGGAAAAGGAAACAATGTAAGGAGGGAAAGAAGAAGAAACGTGAGAAAGAGGAGGTAGAGGACTAGAGAAGAGGGAGAGACTGGGAGTAGATGGAGGGAGAGAAGAAAGACAGAAAGAGGAGAGGAGGGGCAAGGAAAGGATGGAAAAGGAAAGAGAACAATGAAGTAAGGAAAGGAGAAGAAAGAAAGATAGGAAGAGACGAAGAGGAGGTAGAGGAGGGAGGACTGGGAGGAGAAATCGAGAAAGAATGAAAGAGTGAGGAAAAAAGAGAGGAGGAGAGGGAGACAGAAAGAGAGAGGAAGGAAGAGAGGAAGAGGAGGAAGAGGAGGAAAAGATTCAGCAGAGGGGGGAGGAGGAGGGGAGGGTGGCCTGTCCTGTTATGGCAGAACAGCTCGGGGTTGCAGATTGCATCATCGCAGGATCAGCCTTCTATAAATGGATGAGAGTTCCTTCAAGGCGTTAGTGAGATATCGTGTCCATGAGAATGAGACGGGTGGAAAACCTGAAAACAAAATGGCCGCCTGCCTCTGATTGCAGCACCACTTGTCTCTCAGGTGGACACACAGATTCACTGTGCCGGCTCTCTTTCTGCTCAGACCGAGGCACTATGTGATGAGCGACAGGCCAGAGTTGGCCCGGATACGACGGTCTGATCGTGGTACCAGTACTTTCTCAGAACAGGAAGTGATCTTTTTGCCAAAGTGGTTGAGACACAGTGAGCGGGAAGAAAGACTTTAAACCCACAGTCACTGCGACCTCTGTACACTCTGACACTTTGAGTTGAAACTTTTAACCACATGATGTCACTTCCTGTCAGCCTGACACAGTGTTTCCCATCACTGCTGAAGAACCTGTGTCACTGCATGTCATTTTACCCTTTTATTAATTATGTTTCTTTACACACATGTGGGTTACAGCAGGTCTGTCTGCTCAGGTCACATGAATCAAAGCCAAAAGGAAACCAGAACTAAAACATGGCGCTGGGTTCAGAGCTGCGACATGTCACACACACTGTAAACATATTTTCCTGAGGCGGATACGAAGTGACACAACACTGGTGATGTTTTGGATGAAAACTATTTCAACTTAAAGCTCCTCCAGTGTAAAGGTCTGTGTCCATGTGTAGTGTGATTATAGATCAGCTCTAGCTTCTATATTAATACTGTGAAAGTATCAAAGCCTCAGTCCACAGAGAAATGCACACAGCCTGTATTCAGAAACTGAGCCTTAAAACCAGCCGTCAGGACTTCTGGAACTTTGTGATGTCACAACAAAGCAGTCACCAAGCCCCGCCCACCTGGACCCACCATCCAAACCTTGCAGGATTTGGTTTCTCTGAGTGTTTTTACCTGAAATCTGCTTTATTTTTATTGGATCACTCAGAAAACAGTCAGCCAATCAGAAGAGAGGCTCAGAGCCTCCTCTCTTCTGATTGGCTCACCGACCTGTTGTTACTAGAGCTCCAGAGAGAAGCCTGAGAGAGGAGATGTAAAACTACACTGAGATGGTTTTTATTTCTTATGGATCAACACTTCAAATAAAACACAGAAGAAGAAGAAACATGAAGCTTTAAATTAATTTAAATCATTTTAATTTGGTGTTGGTCGAGTTTTGACTTTGCAACCTGAGCAAACAATAAAGTTTTAAGTTTGTCATTTTATCTTATCTCTGAATTGAAGTAGAAATTGTTCATCAGGACTGTGAACTTGTGAGGTTCCCTCCTTGAGGCCTGATGTAATCCTCAGCAGGGAAACACCGTTTGGTTGGTTATTAACCATTTTATGGTTTTTACAGCTGCCTGCTCTGCACTGTGACACCAAGGTTATATGACCAGCAGAATACGAAGCTGCTCTGAATGGAAAATCGGCATGGAGGTGAGTCCTGCACACTGTGAAGGCTTCCCTGGAAACAATGTGTGACCCAGACTGGGTGAAGACACACACACTTATCACACACTGACAACAGATATGAAATGGCACAAAGTCACATTTTCTTTCCTGTAGTGCATTTTGGGTAAAAAGCCACAAGCAGTCATGATGCCAACATATGAGCCGATTTCTGCATTTCACAATCTCTTGTAAGTAATATTGTTTCTGAGAAAAACTGCAGTCAACGAAAGTGAAAGGTGCCGGGAGGAGAAACTAAACTGGAAGTTTCTAGATTACAGCAGTCAGGCCTCGAGCTGGAAATGACAGGAAATGAGAGCAACGGAAGGAAGAAAAAGAAAGAAGTGAAGGCAGCGGAGGAAAGGAGCTCCAGGTTTCAGCTTGGAAATAAAAAAAAAAAGTCAGACCGACATCTACTAGAAAACCTGTCGTTAGTGGTTTCAGTAGTTAACGTCAGGTCAGGGGCAGAGGTCGCCAGAGGGCAGGGTTCAGACTGAAAACAGACCTGTGTTAACACAGAACACATCTGTGACTGTGACGGCTTCAGCGACCAGAGGGAGGATGAAACAACTCTGGAAAACTATCCCAGCGACTCGGGCTGAGCGCGACCTCAACAACCCCACAGCGACCCCACAGCGACCCCACAGCGACCCCACAGTGTCAACACCAGCTCCGAACTCTCACAGGAAGAAGTGCACAAACTCCTGAACAGATGCTTCTACTTCTCCTGCAGCCACTAAATATATGAAGTGACACACTGACCTGTAATTAAACTGCTTCATCACCTTAATTCTCTAACAACCAGCAGCACTTCACTTCTATGACTAGAAAAGTACAAGTACTTCCACTAAGCCACTGTGATACTTTCCTACCACGACTAAAGCCAGCTACTGCCAGTAAATATGATAATAATAATAAACTTTATTTATAAAGCACTTTCAGTACAAGAGAAGTAGCTCAAGGTGCTGAAGTACACAGTATATTATACCAAAGCTGGAGGCTGCAATTCATAATGTTAGAATTTAAATAAAAATATCAAATAATAAAAATAGTAAACGAGTAAGAAGAGTCAAATAGGAGAGAATTAATTAAAAGCTAAGTTAATTAAATATTTTCAGCTGTTTAAAAAAAGTTCACTACAGAGTTAGTTAGTTAGTTAGTTAGTTAGTTAGTTAGTTAGTTAGTTAGTTAGTTAGGGTAACTACTACTACATGTAATATCATCTGTTCTAGTAATGATTATAATACTGTTTTATTTTGAAGGTAAAAACAATCCCTCTCTCTGCTCCTGTCAGGAAATCCTCCATCTGTTTCAGCAGCAGAGTAAACAAGATCAGCTGATTAAGACTCATTAAGAGTCGTGGACTAAATTAAAGCCACGTCACTGTGATCCGTGTTTCACACCACAAACATGCAGCTTCTCCACCTACCGACCAGCCGACCGCCATCTCCTCACTTCCTGGGAAACAGTTTTTTAAAAATTAAAATCCTCCTAATATCAGATAAAGAAGGGGACTCTTCGTCATCATCATCATCATCATCATCTTCATCACGGTCCATGACTCTGTCCCGGTCTCTGGGTCGGACCTCGCGGCTTTATACTGCGGCCGGACAGATGTCAGCACAGAATAAATAAATGTGTGGTGTCACTCATCCTGAAGAGTCCATCACTCGTTCATGAGGAACTTCAGGAATGAAGAGAGAGAGAGAGAGAGAGAGAGAGAGAGAGAGAGAACTAATTCATTAGTTTCATTCAGGTTTTAATTTTTATTCACAACTTTATTTAACTATCTCAAGTTTGAAGGTGAGGGAGAGGGGGAGGAAGAAAAAAAAGTAAAATTAGGAGGAGAGAAAAAGGAAAAGAGTGAGGAAGAAGAGGGGGCAAGGAAAGGATGGAAAAGGAAAAGGAAACAATGTAGGAGGGAAAGGAGAAGAAGAAAAAAGTGAGAAAGAGGAGGTAGAGGACTAGAAGAAAGAGGAGAAGACTGGGAGTAGATGGAGGGAGGAAGAAAAGACAGAAAGAGGAAGAGGAGGGGCAAGGAAAGGATGGAAAAGGAAAGGAGACAATGAAGTAAGGAAAGGAGAAGAAAGAAAGATAGGAAGAGACAAGAAGAGGAGGTAGAGGAGGGGAGGACTGGGAGGAAGAAATCGAGAAAGAATGAAAGGAGTGAGGAAAAAAGAGAGGAGGAGAGGGAGGACAGAAAGAAGAGAGATAGGAAGAGGAGGAAGAGGAGGAAGAGGAGGAAAAGATTCAGCAGAGGGGGGAGGAGGAGGGGAGGGGTGGCCTGTCCTGTTATGGCAGAACAGCTCGGGGTTGCAAGATTGCATCATCGCAGGATCAGCCTTCTATAAATAGGATGACGTCACCCCCCTCTGCTCTTCCTCCTTTCTCAGCCCCTCCCTCCCTCGTAGCATTCCTCGTCGCGTCACCGCGGCCCCGCCCCCTCCCGGCCGCTATAAAGCGGGGTGATGCAACGCGCCGGTTACAAGCAGCAACTAAACGCGGCGGAAGGAACCGAAAGAAGAAGGAGACAGAGACAGAAGAGGCACGAGCTCACGGTGTCACGGGGGGACGTTCGTTTTCTCCACAGCCACCTCACCTCATCCGCTCACTCTACAGCTTTAACAGGTGGGTGTCGAGATGTGTTTATGTTTTGCGGGGGGCGGGGGGGGCGGGGGCGGTGAGTGTTGCTGGGGGGAGCGGGTGTTTGTCAGTGAGAGAGGCGGTGTTGTGGCGGTGTTGCGCCGGTTAGTGTAGCGGAGGAGTCCCGGTGCTCTCCCCGCGCGCGGATGTCCCGGGACACTTTGGTAAAAGTTTAAAACGCGCTTCTTTCTGTCACATTAGATTCAGGCAGAAAAGTCTTTAAAGCAAAAAGTATTACATTTATAACACAGCTGTTTCCTGATTGTTCATCTGAAGTTTATTGTTGTTTTCTTAAACGTGTTTTCGGATGTAATTAGATGGAAAACAGCTGTTTTTATTCTTGGACACATTTTAAATAATAATCTATAGATATCATACAAAAATTATATTTATATAGACAAGTGTAAAACCTTTTGGCTCAAAATGCAGAAGCAGATTTATGACTGAACAGCTGTTTGATTAACATTTATAACGTGTTTGTTTTCCTGATTGTTCATCAGATTCACACGTTTTCTTCTGTCATTTCTAAAAACTTGTCTGTACACTTAGTTTCTTTAGGATGCAAAGAATGTGTGTGTGTGTGTTTTATCTTTCTTTTTGTGAGATAACTGAAGTTTATTGGTTGTTTTATTTTAAGTTTTCAAAGGTGTCATTTGATGGAAAACAGCTGTTCTTATTCTTGGACACATTTAAAATGATAATCTAAAGATATTATACAAAACCTGAGAAATTTTATGGAGATTAAATGTAAAAAAATAAAGTGATTTAGTGACAAAAAAAAAAACTGACTAAGTATGATGTAAATCAATGGCAATGTTACATGAATTGGAATCGAATAACTCACCATTAAGTTCCTCACTATAAGACATTATGACAATATTATAGGAGTAAATAAGTTTATTTTATGTGTTTGCTTCATGAATCAGTGGATCATGTAATTCCTGTATTGCATGAAAGTTTGTTATGTTCTCCCAGATCTGACATAAACATCATAATCATCTTATCAAACTGTCATAACTGTCCATGAGTCACTCCTCTGTTTAGATAACAAACCTCCACACCTACTCATCATCTTTAATTGTTTATGGTGTTTTTCAAAAAGGCAAATATTTGAGTTAGGGTTCAGATGGTTGGGGTTTTGGCATATTGCACTCTGTGACTATGACTTATTCCTCCTCCCTCTCTGTGTCGCCTTGTTCAACATGAAATCTTGATATTTAAACACAAAACTTTTTTTTTGTTTGAATATTTCTAAATTCTTGTCGAAATCTCTGTCCTTTTTTCTCACTCTAATATTCACACAGACTCTTAATTACTTGTCTGTGGTTCTTAATAATAAATTTAACCTTCTTGAATCATTTATAATATTATTACAGTAACATATTGTGTGTTTGTGTTGCTTCATACTGAGATAATTGGTGTGTTTTCATTATATTTCATGAAATTATCATTATTATTATGAGCTGACTTTTTGAATAGCTTTGTGTGAGATCCGTCTCTGTGACTCTGACTGATGTGATCTCTTGTGTTTCCAGAATGATGCTGCAGCACTCGGGTCCCTCGCTGGCCGACATCAGCTGCTCTGCCCTGGTGCCCTGCCTGTCCCCGCCGGGCTCGCTCACCCTGGACGACTTCACCAACTTCACGCCCATCGTGAAAGAGGAGCTGCGGCTCGCCATCCAGACCAAGCGCCTGTCCAACGGGCTCAGCGCCGACATGAGCTCGGACGGAGCCAGCTCCAGCTCGGACCGGGCGTACGACGCGCTCCCCTGCGGGTCGGGAGTCAAGAGAGAGGTGAGGCAACTGCAGCGTGTTGTCATTGTTGTATTTTTGGACACTGACCGTGTAGTGTGTTTTCCCTATTGTGTGTGTGGGGTAAAATACTGACAGTGTATAATTGTCTCTGGTTTTTAGTTGACAACCGAGGAGCACGATAGGAGGAAGAGGAGGAGGGAGAGGAACAAAATCGCTGCTGCAAAGTGTCGCAACAAGAAGAAGGAGAAGACGGAGTGTCTGCAGAAGGTACGTTTCATCCTCCATCCATCTGAGAAAAATAACTGAGCTCTCGGATTTTTGTATCACTTTTTTAAAAGGGCTTAAAAATGATAAGTAGAAGATTAAAACCAGATGAAGTTAAGTTGTAAATACTTCATTTTTTTAACCTTTCGATGTGTTTACTTAATGTTTTTGTGTCAACACTCAAAGCTGTTAAAAATCTTTCAGTGTGAATTTAGCAAACTAAATCTTATAGCCATTGTAAAATTATCTGTATTTTGCAAATCTCTTTTTACGACTTTCAAAACTTTATGATCCAAAGTACAAAGAAGCTCTAACAAGAAGCTTTAACATCCAAATTAACACAAGAGTACAGTATTAATAACTGATTCCTCTCCCTCCGCCCTCGTCTCGTCTCTGTAGGAGTCGGAGAAGCTGGAGAGCGTCAACGCCGACCTGAAGGCTCAGATCGAGGAGCTGAAGCAGCAGAAGCAGCAGCTGGTCTACATGCTCAACCTGCACCGGCCCACCTGCATCGTCCGGGCCCAGAACGGCCAGACGCCTGAGGACGAGAGGAACCTGTTCATCCAGCACATCAAGGAGAGCACCTTACAACTCCACAACCTCACCTCCTCCTCCATCACCTCCTCCTCCTCAGTCACATCCACCTCTACAGTAGCACCTCTAGATGGAGGACTCCTCACCCTCGATCACATTCACTGCCCCAGTCACCTATGAGCTGAGCGAGCAGGTGTTTTTGCCACTTTTCTAAGACTTATGCGACGCGTCCGCCCGCCGTCTCTGATGGAGCTGAGACTGTTCGAGACGCAGGTGGAGCCGCCGTAGACTTATGACACGAGAATGACAGTGAGACGCCACCTCCAGACGGCTCCTCGTTCTCATTCAGCATCCACAAAGCTGCTACAGAGAGTGTCATAACGTGACCTCAGCACCACCCACTCCCTGAAACCGTAGCTGCTGATTGGACAAAAAGTGACGTACGATGGACACCTTGACATGCATTATGAATTTCTTTTTTTTTTTTTTTGTTTTTTTTTTTTTTTGTTTTTTTTTTTTTTTAGTCAGGGCCAAGGACAGATGCTAAAGCACTAAAAAAAACAAAAACAAAAACATCAACTGCTTTTTTATTTACAGGTATTTTGAATAGATGAGTCTGGATTTTGTACCAAAGTGTGATTTCAAGGTGATCAAGGCACATGATTGAACTGTAGATGCAGGATGATATGTGAGTGAGTTTGAGCTGCAAGTCACTGACTCTAAAAAAGACTTAGTTTATGAAAAATAGTATATTTATTTATTAAGTAACTACTGTATGACCTGTATCAACCCTGTCTGCTTGTCCTTTTATACAACATGAAATACTAAATCTGCTGCTACTACTAACCACTCAGGACGTACACTGGCTGTAGAAGTCAATGCCACATGTTTATTTTCTTTGCCCGTTTAAAGGATGTTGGTCTGTCAACCAGGGTAGAAGTAGCAGCCACAAAGGGAAATGTAATTTGCAGGCGGGGTTTATAATGGTTCTGCTCTTAAAATGTAGTAAAAAAAAAATGGCCGAATACTCATATATGCAGACGATACCTTACTTTTCTTAACAAACAAAGCTGTAGTAGTCAATGCCACATGTTTATTATCTTGCCTCGTTTAAAGAGCTAACCTCTCAAGAGTATAAGTCAGGATGATGGATGTCAACCAGGGTAGACGTAGCAGCCACAAAGGGAAATGTAATTTGCAGGCATGGTTTGTTATAATTCTGCACTTAAAACAAACTAAAAAATCGCCAAATAATCATATATGCAGACGATACATTACTTTTCTTAACAATCTGAAATCTACTGTACGCAATGTATATAATTTCACAAGTACACTTTAATTATCACTGCGTTCCCTCTTAAACAGACCTAGTGTTGCTTTGTACATCCTCTGTCACGATGAAGCTACATGAGTGTGAGTGTTATTTTTCAGACATGTTTGTTTTCTACCTAAAATCTTGTATATTGTATTGACTGCGCATTAACTCTGTAACTGTATCTGTATGTAAACACCAGATGCCTCCTTTGGTTTTGACAGAGCAAAACAAGATGAAAAGAAACGATTGTTATTTTAAAGAAAAATGTATTTATTAATATTCGTTGATTTGGGAAGTTATGTTCACTAGATATCATTAGCTAGGTATCAGAAGTGTTGCATCAGCTTTTGGCTCGTCCTTTAACATGCCTGACTCTGAAGTTACACAAGATGACGTGATATTACACCGTGTGTTTTGGACCTAGCCAGTATCTGGGTTTCAGTTCATGCCAAATATTTCCCTCACCCTCCACTCCCTCTTCCTCTCTCTGGCTCGTTAATTTTACAGTGAAATCATCCCTCAAGGGAAATGTGGTTTATTGCGCAAACAGAAACTGAGGAAGTGCAATGATCCAGAGTTAAGAGGTTATGTTCTTTTCAAATACGAAGCAACGTGTTCGTCAACAGCCGTGTTGAAACTCTGGTTATCAGTATTTGGGTAAGTCACAGCACTTCATCTAAGAAACACTCCAAAGGGTGATAATTTAAGCATAATGCTCTTAAACAGCACAGTAAACTGGTTCATGGTGAGGACTGAAGTGTTATATTTTATATTGTTTAACGTGTGTGTTATGTAAGCAAATAACTTTGAGAGTCACACGGTTAAAAGGACGCAGGCGTCTGCGTGTGTTCATAGTGTGTGTGTTGTATTTGTGGTTCGTTGTCCCGTTGTTAGTCATGGCCACTGAGTTGGACGTGTGTGTTCTCTACTGTGCCTACTTCTACTGGAGGCTGCTTCACTTCTGTAGCTGCTCGACTGTCGAGCATCGTAGTCTGAAAGAATAAACTGTAGGCTGTCGGATACAACTGCACTGCTAATACCGACGTGTACTTCCATCTTTGTGACCTGTTGATTTTTGTTTTTGATACTTTGTTAATTAAAAATATGTATTGCATATGATACCACCCATCTTGTCGTTTTTAAACATAATTAGACACAATAATGATGATTAATGTCATTTCTCTGTGGACTGAGGCTTTGATACTTTCACAGTATTAATATAGAAGCTCGAGCTGATCTATAATCACACTACACATGGACACAGACCTTTACACTGGAGGAGCTTTAAAATTTCTGGTCCTAATATATACTTTATTTACATTGTACCGTGACTGTACGATGCACACATTATTGTCCTCACTGTTTTTTAGGTTCACCTGTACAGTCTCAGGTAATCCAGCACGTTTGTGAAGCTTATGATTAATAATGTTCTGACGAAACCAGAGAGGAAATTAGTTTGTGTTGTCTCGGCCTCGTAGCCTCACCAACGTCACATCTTCATCCAACAAAATAATGAAACAAAAATAATTAAGTTTAATCTTGAGATAATGGCCTTGAATAATTTATCAGCACCCTCAGCAGCTATTATTTGTTGTTTTGCTTAAAGTAACACAGATACACTAATTCTGCTGCCCAGTTACATCAGCACCAACCAGCTCTGTCCTCTGAAAACATATAAGGATAAAAATATAAGAAAATATGTAAGATACTAACAAAGAGAAGCAAACATTCCCAAAGCTCCAGGCAGAGGCACTAAACTTTTCATTCAGTGGCTCGTAGAAAACTTCATAACATGAACACGAGTTCACCTACAAACCTTCCTCCATGTGAACTCACCGGACAAGACCGGACATGTTGGCTGCTGAGACACGGGGGGGGGGGGGAAGAGGGAGAGAAGAGGGGAGGGAGAAGAGAGGGGAGAGAGAAGAGAGAGAGAAGAGGGAGAGAAGAAGGGGGAGAGGGAGAGAGAGGATGAGAGAGGCAGGGAGGAGAGAGAGAGAGAGCAGAGGAGGAGAGGGAAACGAGAGAGGGAGAGAGAGGGGGAAGAGAGAGAGAGGGAGAGAGGAGAGAGGGCGAGAGAGAGGGGAGAAGAGGGAGAGGGAGAGGAGAGAGAAGGGAGAGAGGGGGAGGGGGGAGAGGAGGGGGTGGTAGGGGGTGGTAGGGGGGGAGAGAGGGGGGTGGTAGGGGGAGAGCAGGGCGGGTGGTAGGGGGCAGAGGAGGGGGGGGGCTGCACCAGTGTTTGTTATCTGTGAAGATAAACTGTGGAACAACAAACCCAGACCAAATAAGTCCCCGCTGCATCTACAGAAAACCTGCACCACATTCTGATAAAGTCAAATTTTCAACAACTTTTCAATTTGTTAATTGGAGAAGTGTTAAAAAAAACTGCAGGAAATTCATCGTGGTGAAATACCTGCGAAGGTCTTTCTAAATCTCTTCGTTTCGGGTGTAAAATGTGTCATTTCCTGTGTGAGGACGCCGGTTTAAACACATCCGTCAGCGGCCGAGCCCCTACCAGAGAAAGGAGAAATGACCAGCTCCAGTGTGAAAGCCCAACACGTCCTCCATGAGGAAAAAAATAACCACATTCTGACTGAAATACGCCGTTATGATTGACAGTCAGTTTAATGGACTTCTAATTACCCAATTACACAGCAGTCTAATTGGCATGAAGTGGTAAATCCCACCCACCAGCCTCAAGACACGTCAAACAAATCACTTGATCCAGGTTTCTGTCTGGTCCTCTCAGGTGAGGAAAACAAACACCAATATACGTCGCCACTGTTTACTATCATGAATCTGTTGTCATGTGTTTCCACAGTAATGTTAGATCTGTGGCTGGGTCCTGTAAGATAGAACATCTGTGGGTTGTTTTTCATCTGATGAAGTCATTTTGTTTACTATATATGAATCCTAAGACTCTTTAAGTTTCATTTCAAAACATTTTCATAAGACTGCGCTGTGGAGAAGCTCCATAGCAACCAGCGCTGTGAAAGTGGGTGGTGTCCTGTTTGCCGGAGGGAAATGTTTCGACTTGACTCCATGTTGTTTGATTCACAGCTGGTATGTTAATCACAACTTCTAACATACTGTCAGCTCGCATCATGTTTCCTGCTCTACCTGCTCTCTGGCTCTGTCTTTAAAAATGTTGCAGCAGGGCTGTAGTATTTTATCATGTTACTTCACATTCATAAAGAAACTTGTTTTTAAAGCTCCTCCAGTGTAAAGGTCTGTGTCCATGTGTAGTGTGATTATAGATCAGGTCTAGCTTCTATATTAATACTGTGAAAGTATCAAAGCCTCAGTCCACAGAGAAATGCACACAGCCTGTATTCAGAAACTGAGCCTTAAAACCAGCCGTCAGGACTTCTGGAACTTTGTGATGTCACAACAAAGCAGTCACCAAGCCCCGCCCACCTGGACCCACCATCCAAACCTTGCAGGATTTGGTTTCTCTGAGTGTTTTTACCTGAAATCTGAGAGTCAGAGCCTCCTCTCTTCTGATTGGCTCACTGACCTGTTGTTACTAGAGCTGCAGAGAGAAGCCTGAGAGAGGAGATGTTAAACTACACTGAGATGGTTTTTATATCTTCTGATGGATCAACACTTCAAATAAAACACAGAAGAAGAAAAGATGGAGCTTTAAGAAAACAAGGCTTATTTCTTTTTTTTTAAGGGTCAGTTAGTATCTCAACCCCCAAATTCAACTTACACATTGACTAGAATCAACTTATGCACAAGACCACTTTAGTTTACATGAACATTTCGACTTTTCATATTAGGAAGAGTTGGCTGCTGATCCCAGGGTTGGCGGTTCGATTCCCGGTTTCCCGAAAACAGGTTCCATCATGAAGGGCGTCCGGCGGAAAACAAACAAATGCCACATCAAATACATGGAAGGTGGTGACCCTTCACAGGAGCAGCTGGAAGACAACAACAACAACAACAACAACATCAGCAATTATATCAATGGTGGCAACCAATAAAAACTAAAACCACTCAATCATAACACAGCTGAAATTAATCACATAGTATTATAGATGTAACATATAACTATTAACATTAATGATCAGTGTCTGTACGCATAACACCAAACATCACAGCTAAATGGAACGCAGCCATCGTCGTCCTCTTCCATTGTAATATCTTTTCTGTTATTAGTTATATAACATG